AATCGTCAAGGGAATGAATACTATTGATTAATGCAGAACTCCGGTTTTTATTAAATTACCAAAGTTATGTTAGGAATATTTCAAAAATTAGTTATGAAACTAGTGTGCACTGAACTAATATAGGGGTACACATTTTATAGTTTACTACTTATAAAAGTAAGATGATTTGTGACCTCGTATAATAAGAGGAAACTTAACACATTCGGGTAAGTAAAATAATTTAGATTAATCACTTAGAAGTTGCATTATTGTAATTATTATGATTATTATTTACTTACTTATTTATTTATTTATTTATTTTTTAAATAACTTTTACTTAACTACATAATATTTTTGTTATACGTTTTTTTATTAATTTGTTTTTAATACTGATAATAATAATAAAAACTTCTTGGTATTAATTCGAGTAGTGTTTACATTGCGTTGCGTTATTTAMAGTACAATCAAACGTAATATTATAATCTGGTATTATCATTTCCAATTATAATTACGGTTATAATGCAAAAATATATTTTAATTATTAATCATTCTGTATGATACGCGTATAACACTTTATAATATATATATTATACCGGTAGATAATTGAAGCTATGTTATTAATATGAAATTTAGCAATCAAACGTTAGTGTTTACAGTTTTAACTTCACTAAATATATTTGATACCGAAGAACTTAACTTTTCTGTTTTAGTTGTTACTTTGTATATAAAAATAGTTAAATGTATCAAACGTCATGTTTAAATGTCTTTATACATTTATTTATCAATGAGCAAAAGGTGAAACACCAAGTTAAATTATTTTAATAATATTTTGTACTGGATTTGCATACTATTTTTGTAAATATACTAATATCCAATGTCCTAATTATTATTTAAATGCCTACAATCTTGTATAGTATATWAATATATTACAATCAAATACCAATTGCTTCATCCAGGTTCCCTATTAACTGCAAAGTGCTTAAGAAATTACATAATACGATTGGTTCGTGTAATTTAGCAATTATATACAGAATGATTCATTGAACATGCTCACCGCATTGTTCAATAAAATAAATGTATACTCAAATGTCGATTTTTTAAATTTTAAATTTTAATAAATTGTTGTAATTTGTTGAGATCGTTTGTTTTACCTACCAGAGTAGGACGACATTTGAATCAAATTTTATCTAGATGAATATTTAGATTGTATTTTATTTGGATGATTTATTTACAATCATACTTCTTACATTACTTGATTAAATTTCAAAGATAATTAAGAAAAGAGTTATTTGAAAAATTTTGGTTATTTCATTTGAGTAAACATGGTTGATAATTAAATATATATATATATATATATATTAAAAACAATAACTGGCATTCCATGATTGTGAATCTCATTTAATTCGGAATAAATGCAAAAATATTATAAAATAAATAACGTCTTCAATAATGATACAGAATTACTACTGACAGTACGTACTAAATACTATTGCACTTGAAAGAATATAATCATTATAAGTACCTATATATTATTTTAGTATAGTAGATAATTTGTATGAGTATTATGTTTTGAAAGTTTTGAAATAAATTATTCGAATAATTATGAAAAATTATTCGATTATCAACTTTACAACTCAAATAAAATATCCGAAAATTATTCGAATATCTGTCTTTGAAATTTAGTTATAAATATATAAAKTTCGAATAATCAACTAGATGCAATTCTTCTCAACTCCACTGCCTACCTATTTAAGGAGCGTCCCGTTACTATACAAGCTTCTGTTTTTCAAACGAGAACACTTTCCCCTTTTTTAACTGAATATTATTTAGTGGATGACTTTTTGAACATGTTGATGTAGGTTCTGAATTTTACATTCGAATAAGTTGTTTTTCAGTTAATAAATATATACATTAGGTAGGTACTACCTATATACCTAGTGTCCTATAGGGATTATACTTTATACTACGAAACTGATCAATTTTACGAAATATGAAATAATAATAAATTTAAATAATTTAAAAACATTGATAGAATTAGGTACTAATAGTGTAATAAATAAATAATTAAGGATTGATATACGTCAGCATTTTAAGGAAAATTTTAGGCTATATAATTTATAGTAGCTACCTATGTGGGTCCTCATTAAGAAAAAAGAAGTTTGTAATGACACAAAACATTTTTATGTACCTAATACAAAAAATTTAAAATATGRCCTTGAAGTTTATTTAATAATTCCTTACACTGAATTCTGAATTATTTAAGTRATTATGTGTGATGAATCACCCTGTATATATTTATTATTCWCTTGTATTCAATACATTAATTATATTTTCAAAATTTTATTGAAATACATGACATATATGGAGACGATATATTTTATCTTATAAGCCAATGTTAATAACTATTACGACAATGTAGGTAAATCCTGTAACATCAAAAAATGTATAACTTGCATACTCATTTAAAAAAATAAAATATTTTAGTTGCTTAGTAAAGAAAAAAGTTTTAATAAAGTTTTTAATGATTTAAAAAAAAATCATCGTTATTGCATTATATTGTTAACAAAAAYGACAACACTGTTTATTTCGTATTAAATTCCGTAAAACTGCAAGAAAGTGAAACGACATCACAGCCCGAAAGGCAATTATATATTTTTCATAATTAATCTAAAATCGAGGCGGGTMTTAATTATTTAAAACTTAAAAATTCAACAACTCTGTAAGACGACCGAGATAAAGCATGAAAGAGTGTGCACTTGAAAGCCCATTAGCCGGGTTTCCATCATCACAGTAGTTTTTATTATTATTATTATTTTTAACTCCATAATTACATTTCAATGTAATTTAATCGCTGGAACTGTAACGTCGACGTAGGTATACACTTATTATACATTAGTTTAATTTAATTTCCAGCTTGGATCATGTACACTATTATACTATCATCTTATATCAAATATCAATACATTTGTAAACGATAAAATGATTTATATATTTATAAGCGTCCATCAAACGAATAAACTTTTTGAAAAATGTACGATTTTAGAATATTTCAATGTTTTTAGATTCTGATTGTCTTTAAATGAATGTAGAATGTATTGATTTTACAACAATGATGTATATGTGTATATGTGTTTTTTCATTCGTTTTTTCGACTTTTAGGTTGGWTTCTGGTAGTGAATCGGATATATTTTGTTCTTTGAGGGTTCCATAATGAAAAATTGTCAGTACTGATAACCGAAAATACAAGGAAAAAACAATAAAAATGGGAAATTTTATATTTACCTAAATTCAGTTTTCATCAACTGAATTCATTCAACTTTTTCATTGTGTAAAAATGTATAAGAATTTTTAATGACTTACAATACATAGTGTATGTATTAGTATATATTATTATTATTATATCATTAATCATTAATCATTATATATTATGAATTAGTATTATACCTACAAATAGTTTAAAGTTTTTTTGATAATATTTAACATATTATAGGAACTTTTATAAATAACTTTTTTTAAATCGAAAAAATTTCCAAATTAAAATGTAGTTAGGAAATTATAAAATATTCAATTTGTATTCCTAATAATGCTTGAAAATGTAATACAAGATTTTTACTGAAATCTAAAAATCTTAAAAATGTTTAAATACATTTTCATTATTGAAATTTAAAACTACATTTTTTATGAAATTGGATATCAAACAAAAAAGTAGGTCAGCATTTCGGTGGTGGATGTTTGTCCATCGTCTCTTCGGCCCTCAACCAGGATAGTGTAATTTTACTGTATTCTATTTGAATGCAATGATTGCACTCGATAAAAAACGATTCTGAGTGGACGAGGGAATCTTTTTTTATTTAATTCTGTTTGTTTCTATAGTGAAATCAAAGGGTTATAATAACAGCTTAAGAACGATTTATATAAATAGGTAATTTATATAATTATAGTTAGGAAATATCGTAAAAATGAAAAAAAAAATATAAAAGAAATGAAAAAGCTCAAAAGTCGCTCAAATGTTCTGAAAATTTTACCAAGTCTAGGTAAG